AGAAACCGTGAAAAGAAGGGAAATTATGCTAAAATATGTACCTAATATTAACCCAGGTCTGTAAGTATTTTAACATTGTATTATTCTCAACAGCTAAAGTATGAGAAACAAAAGGTTAAAGTAACATTACGCCACACACGATTGGCATACCCTACTGTGTAAGCAAGTGCAGAAAGTCTGAACACACCACAACAGTGCTAAAACACAGAATCACACAGAATGCTGAAAATGGTACCTCTAACCAAAACCAGAGGGTGGGAAGGGACAGAAAGCAAAGGGGAGGAGCGGCTTAAATCACAAGCAAATTACCTATATACAAATCAACCCTAAGGACAATTATGTTCCAAACAATGGTGTCCACAAGGAAAATAAAAGCAACATTATCCTTATTTACAAATGCAACTAGCTGTGTCTTTAACAAGCTATAAAAATACTATTCACATTTTCAAAGTAACATACAGTAGGTATTGAATTTCTTTTTATTTTTGTTTCAGAAAGGCAGCTAACTCTGAATGCATCACTTTGCAAGAAATGAGTGTCTTCCCCAACCTGCTGACACTTCTCTTCTTCTGAAGGTACTTCATAAGGCAGAAGTATTGTTGTTTTATGCTGTGGCTCTTTCAGAGCGTGGAGGATTGACAGAAACCCAGACCACCCCACCTGTGTGTGCTGCTGGTCCCTCTGGGCTGGCCCATGCTGGCACTGTGATCAGGAGTCACCAGGAGCTCGGTGCTACCCCAGTGTCACCTGCCAGGTGGGAGGCTCTGATTCCCAGGGGACAGTAATGTCATACCCAGGGCCTGAATTTGAGCCTCATCTGAAAAGTCAGTGGTTCAAGACCACCAGGTCAGGAAATGAAATTTGGCTATCTCTGTTCTTAGAAAGAGACTTCTTTTCCCTTCAGTTTCCCTTCCCTGATACCCATTTAGCAATTCCAGCTTACAATACTGGGGAAGTAGCAAAAACTGGGCAAAAGAAGGGATTGAAACCAATTGTGAACAATGTATTGAATGGGTATCCATTTCCATCTTTAAAATGCTGTAAAAAATTCCCAGTTTTCTCATTCACCTGCTTTTCCCTCTTGCATTAACCCACCATAAGTACCCCCACAAGCAGCCAGTACCTACCTCCCATCCCAAATCCAGAGGAGCAGTGATTTCATGCATTCAAAGTTAGCTACCCCCTACACAGCTGCTCAGTTAATAATCGACCCATTTAACAGCAGGACCAGTTTATGCTACATATGTCAGAGTACCTTACCTCGAAAGAACAGCAGACCTATCTACACTTAGAAAATACCACTCACAGTTCCCTACTGTGGTTATCCCAAAAGGGTTTAGTCTTCAGAGTGCTATGGACAATGCAGTGTTTCCCCCTAGGAGAGCTGCAAGGTGGGGCTGGGAACCAAAGGGCTGGCTCCTGTGGTCACACCTGAGCCAGCAGCCTGATGCTGAAGGGCAGGATGCACCTTCTCAGCAGGTGAAGGATTCATCCACAACACCTCTGGAGTGTGATTTCATGGCTTTTTCGTTGGTGGGGGGAGAAGAGCTGGGACAGAACTACTCACGCTGCCTAACGCCTCATGAAAGTCCCCTTAAAACCTCTCTCTGCCACGGTCCACAGAGCTCGCTTCTACAATTGAATCATAAAAAAGGAGCAAAAAACCCCAAACAATGACTTTGATGCCTCTTGTTTCCCATTGGGATGTCCTTGGGCTTCCCCCTCACACTTTTTCTTGTATTGCTGCCACAGAGCCCAGCTGGAGGACACCCTGGGCAGAAGTGTCCCTCTGGCTCTGGTTAGGAGAGGAGACTGGCTACAGTTCAAGCCCCACTGAGTCCATCAGTCAGCCCTGAACAACCACAAAAATCCCTAAAAAGTGCTCTGCATTGTCCAAACCTGCAGGCAGATCCCAGCCATCACTGCAGCAGCACCACCAACAGCCTCACCTGCCTGTGAATTCCTTGGAACAAACCACTATTCCACACAGTGGCAAAATAAAATAACATTAGAACTGACTTGGAGACATGATTTTTGGACATTTTAGAGTGGTGCTTCTAACCACATAGCTTTAGTTTTGTTATTTGTTCCCAGTCTGAAAGCCCCATTTGTAACAGTGACAGTTTCAACCTTTATAGCAACAAGCAGAAAAAAAAAAAAAAAAAAAAAGGGAATCCTGCACAGACAGTGGTGCTTCACTGAGGCTACTCTGTGGGACAACTGCAGCTCCCTGTTTGATGAAATGAACAGCCTCATTGTGCCTTGTCTCTTGATCTCCCAGATGGAATCAAGGAACTCAAACAATTCCATCGTTCTGTTAGCTGCCACCATGATGCCCAACATCTAAACAGACAAAAACAGATTTTTTTTTTCTTTAATATTTGATTTTTCATCCCCAAAACCAAGCTGTATTTCTAGACTGACTCACCTCACAACTCATACTTCTTCCCTGTGCTGCCCAGCTCTACCTAAAGCTATGGAAAGAATGGATCCACAGAGTCGGGGCTGAGCTGCTCTTCTAGAGCTGCCACCTTCCTTCCTGCTGGGCTGGGATTAGTGGTGGCTGAGGGTGACATCTTCAGTGGAAACTGGCATATGAGCCTTGCAGTCAAGAAACACATTTTCTACCAAGTATGTGGTACATCCAGGAGTAATACAACATTTCTTTGTACACAGAAAAGGATTTCAGGGTATCTCAAACAGATCTACATGGTGGCTCCTATTGCAGATTTATTTCCATAACTTGCTACCTGAGAGAGACAAGCTGTTTGAAATATAGCTGTAAATACTCTGCTACATCTGAGCCAATGGCCATGTAAAAAATTCCTCCTGGCTGTTTTGCAGAAAAAGGAAAATCTGAAAAGATCTGAAGAAGTAAATGTTAAAAGTAGTTGGTTTCAGCCAATTATGCTACAGTGAGTCAATCTGTCCCAGCATCTGCTTGCAATAACCCTCAGGTAGGTAATGACAGCTAGGACAAGTAACACTGAAAGAGATCAGGAGACAATAATAAATGTTGTTCTCTTTCCTTTAGCAGGATGCTTTGTGCCTTGGATAATGGCTGAGCCACACTCAGATAAAAACGTGCTCTTGAAAAGGTGGTCATTGCTCTCCTGTGGCACAGGCTGTGACAGGAGGAAACAGAACATTTGTAAACTGCATTCTAAAACCCACAAAACCCAGCCAGACCCCTCTGTAGCACTAGAGTGAATCACACCCAAAGTACTTCTGCTGATCTGCTCTCCTGCTGCTTTGTGCTGACAAAATGCAGTTTGTGTGTGTGTGTATGCTCTTCCCCCAAACCTGTCATTATCCATCAAAGACCTTGGCCCTCATCTTTCATCCCATGTGAATCCCAGTGGAATGCTTGCCATGATTTTGCCATGTGCACTTGCCCAAGTTCTTTCCCCAAGCCAGCAGCAACACCCAGAAAGGCAAAGATGTGAGTTAGGGACAGCCAGGCATTTCTGCTGGAATTAAAACAGCCAAACAGTTCTGCTCTCAGTTTCCCTTTCTTTTCTTCTTTAGCCATGATTAAACTATCTGTTGCAAAGAGGCAAACCTGCCAGCTAAGCTCACGGAACCCAAGGGCCAGTTTTGGCAACTGCAACTCAAACCAGAAGCTCAGAAAATAATAATAAAAAAAAAAAAAATTGAAAAGCTGCAGCGTGTGGAGCTCTCCCTCATCCCAAATCACTGTGCTCATGAAGCCTCTGCCTGTCCTCTGTTATCCCAGACCCCACTAGCATGGCTCTGCACGGCTCATCCTGGCTGCCAGGCAGAGCCCCTGTTCCAGCTTTCCTGCTGCCCCACCTGCAGGAGCCTCTGCATTTCCATGCTACTTAATATATTACAGCACACCCACAGTCAACAAATAAAATTAATAAATAATTCAAGCCTTGTAAGAAATAAAAGGTTAAACTGTTAAACCCCGCCAGTATTTACACTTGGATTACTCCACGGGCTGGTTTCTAAGATGAGCACTACTTCCTTGCCAGAGGAACAAACAGGCTCACCTTGTGTGAGCAGCTCCATCCCCGTGCCTGGCTCTGGAGGTGTGCCTGCCTCTGCCCCAGCAGCCTCTGAGCTCATCTCTGAATCCAAACACGTCAGCTGTGCCAGCATTTCATTTTTTATTTTTTCTCCATTAGGAGTTACTCTGTTATAAGAACTATTCAGGGACAAATCAACCTTTCTCCACCTACCTATGGTCCTGCAGGCAGCTGCTGTGCTGAACACCCACATTCCTGCTCTGCTCCCTGCCACAGGCAGCTTGGCAGCATTGTCCCAGCCTGGCAGACCTCACAGCAGGTGAGCACTGCTGTGGGCAAATCTTCCCTGGAGCAGCCACCCTCTGTGCCCCAGCCCCTGCCCACTGTGTGCTCCTGCCCCACCAGCATGGTGAGGAGCTACCAGAGGCACCAGGAGAGGCCCCTCAGTGCAGATGGTATCCACCTACCCCCTGGCAGTGGCCATTTGGTTGTGTCACCACAAACCACCTTGGTACCACTTGACCCAAGGTCTCCTTTTACCAGCTCGAAGCTCTGTGCCTGTTGCTGCTTCCAGAACCTTCAGCTGTGTACCTGATGCACATCTGGACACACCTGGTACACCAACAGCTCGCTGGCTGAACCAGCCTTGTGATCACAGGGTGTTTTCCATCTACAAGGGTAACAACCAAGCCAGCTTTAACATCTTTTCAACCTTTATCAAGCTGACCTACTAAGCTTCAGGTAGCCGTTGCTTGTTTCTTACTCCCTTCCTCTGCTTCTCTAAGATTAAATGTGGCAAGCTGATGGAATGGCAGGAATTTAGAGGAGGGTGATGCCATTTCCAGACCACTGCTTGCTGTTGGTTTTGTTGCCAGGTTAGGTCACCCTAAAGATCCCAGCCCTAACAGAGCTGAAGCACATAAACTGAAATACTGTTGCATCACCCAGGATTGCCATCCACCAGGTATTGTCTCTTCCCTTTAAAAGCCTTAGTGGATAGAGACAGGCAGATCTCCAAAGGTACCTCACAGTTCCTAAAGATGTTTGGTGGGAAGTAGGCTCACAAATGCTCTTATACACACGGTGCTGGTGTGCCAGGAGCAAGCCTTGGTGTCTCTGGCCCTTGCGCCTCCTTTCCCAGCTCCATCTGCCCCAGATCACTAAAACCATCCAGAACTCTGCTTTGAAAGAGATTTCCAAAGAGGAGCAGGTCAGGGGGTGTCTACCTAAAAACTGAGGTTGATAAAAGCAGAACTAAGTGCAAGGAGACTGACTCATACTTATTTACATTTTTGACAGAAAGCTCTGCGAATCATGCATTTTGACTTCTCAAACCTCATATGCACTGTCTTCTGTGCCAGAGTAATCCTCCTTTTTGAAAAAATGGTATTCTGTACTATGCTGCAAGCCAGAGGAGGACATTTTCCTCCCCTGATCCTTTCCAGGGCTTGCTCTGCTGTCCTTCACAGAGCAGCAGAAGAGCTGGCTGCTCTGTCACTGTATTCTCTGAAGCAGTCACTGCATCGGCCTCTCAGAAGTGGCAGGCATTGTTCCAAAGACTTGATTTTCTTCATTTTGGCATTTCCACAGTCATCCTTTACAAATAATTTATATTTCTTTTTTAATTTAAAATTATTATTTTGCATTTTGCTGGTCACTTCCATATTGCTTCATTCAAAATCCAGAAAACAGTTCAAATAAAATCAGAGGTTAAGTGCAAACTAACTTTCCAGTGAACCGCTATGTGCGTTTTCTCCAGTCCAGTGTCTGTCTTCCAGTTTAAAGGACCCTTCCCACCCCACCCCACAGAACATCAAACTCTTCAGTTCTCTGTCTTGTCCTCAGTGCTGCCTGACAGCATCCCCAGCTCCCTTCATGACCATGAAGAAGAAAAAGAGGGAAGAATTAGTGACAATCTTTTGCAGTGTTTACAGTCAGCATGTATAAAACAAGAAAAGCAAAATTTTTGGCATACAAATCTTCATTTCTTGGCCTGGTTTTTAGCTTCAAATGAACATATTGAAGGTGTGGTTTTGTTACTCTCTTCTGAAGGGTATTTTGTGTTTAAAGTGATCGCTGTGTTGGCACACATATAAAAATGGTCGTGTCAAGTACCAGCTCTGAGCAGGAGTCTCTGTGGCTGGGAATTGGCACAAAATCACGGTGTGGCTCAGAAGAGGTGTTTAGCTGTATGTGGGAGTCACATAATCATTTCTTGGAAAGCCACAATGAAGATCTGAATGTTTTTGAAAAGCTATGTTAGCCATTTTCAGTTGCTGGGATAGAAAGTGTTAGAGAAAGAAATTGGATTCTCAATCTCAATTACTACGCTATCACACAGGATATAAAAATTGTCCATTTTTCACCCTGATGGAAATTGCATGGAGATTTCCAGGAATGCTGTACAGACTCCCATCAGCTCCTGCTGAAAGAATCAGCCTTTCTGTGGCATTTCCTACAGTTGGATCACTGAGAACGAGCTCGAAGCACCACCTGGCTTCTCTGGGCATCCAACCCTGTGTCTGCCAAAAGTGGGGAAGGCCAGGTTGGACACTCCTTCTTTCAGTCTCTTCCTTCCAGGCTCCCCAACCCAATCTGCAACCAACTCCGAGACATCCTTTCACTTAGAAATATCAAAAATGAGTGAACTGGCAAGAAGAGGAAGCTCGTGGGAGAAAGAGAGGGAAGGGAGGGAGGAAGGACGGGCAAGGGCAGGGAGAAGGGGGGAGTGAGAGAGGATGAGTGAGGCAGCTAGAAGGGGGTTGCCTTTCCACTTCAGTGAGAGCACAGCCACTACACCACGGTGTTCCGGTGTCTGTAGGGCGGCGGGGGCAGCACAGTGCCAGGCTTCAGGGAGAACTCGGAGAGGTATTCAGGATTCTCTGCCACTATGGGCCGGATCCGTCCGTTCTGTTTGTAAAAGTATTTTGTGCTGTACTCTTGCAGGTAGTCCGGGTGCTGGAGGGTGCTCCGTGGGGGCAGGCTGTGGTTCCAGTAGTCTGGGTTGTCAAAGGCCTTCTTGGCTTTCTCTGGCAAATTGTTCTTCAGGTACTCGGCGTTTTCCAAGGTGCTGGCGAAGGTGTTGAGGTACAACGGCTCGTTCACGTACTCGTCCTCGGCTTTGGGCTGCCCGTTGGGAGCCTTGTGGTACTCTGGGTTGTCCACAGCTTGGAGATCTCCATTCTTTCGTCGGGAAACAAATGGGTTCTCTTCCACTGGGTTTAGGTAATCTAAGGAAAGACAAAAAATAAGTCAGCCTATCTGTGTCAAAGCACTTGGACCACAGCACCCTCTACCTCAGCCAATCCAAGAAAAGTCCAGATGGGATCAGGGGCCAACTATGCTGAGCACACACTTGTGAAAAATGAAGTTTTCCACACACAGTGTGGGTTAAAACAGAGAAAACAGACACCTTGGAAAACTGACTTATCAAACACCCTGGCCAGCTGAGCTACAGCCAATGTGCTCTCCTGGCCTTCCTCTCATTGTACAGTCCATAGACCCAAACACACGGAACAACTTCTGCCTCTGCTACCCTGGACCTATTAGCAAACCCTGTGCCCTGCAGTCCTTCCATCCAGAAAACTCTACAGGAACCTTATTTAGGCTCTCTGCACAAAGCCTATCCCCAAGGGCTAACTTTTAAGACAGCTTCATTTCTAAGAGAACTATTTGCCTGATTAAAAAACCTTCCAAAGGCCTTGAAGCATTATGAAAAAAAGGTTGTACAAATGACTCCTAGAAAGGGAACAAGAGAGCCTTAGATCAGCTGCAAAACGGGACTTGGAGCAGGCTACAGTTGCCTCAAAGCACTTGTTGTGGATTAACATCCCATTCCCAGCAGCACAGTGCTGCTCAAGGGCTCTGCACACACCTCCACAGAGAGTCCTGGTGCAAGGGGTCATCTGGTTTTATCCTGGACGGGGCCAAAACTATGAAAGGCAAAAGTTCAAGACCCAGTGAACACCTTTGAACCCTCAGCTGTCACTGAATATGAGCTGAATAGCAGGACATTTGTTTTTTTAGTGTTGACAGCCAAGCAGTGCTTTGATTTGAGCCCTGCAGCTGGCATGGAACACACGGTGTGTGGCCACATGGTGACAGCCCTGTGTGTGTGCCCAGGGCATCAGGAAGGAGCTGCTTTCTCTCCTGAGCTGCTACTGCCACATCCCTGAGGGCTCAGGTGGCTCCTGCAGAACTCTGAGGGTCCCCGGGGTGCACCTGTACATAACTGTGGGGTCATACTGAAGGTGAATCACTGCAAGGGAGACCCCCACAACTGCTACTGCCATGGGTCCAGCCCCAGGGCTCCCTCCATTCCTCCATCATGGAACACAAAGGACAAGTGGCTCCCAAATTCTTAGAAACACACTAGTGACTTGTGACTAGTCACTTGCAATACAATTGCATTTATTAATTTCTTTAAAGCTAATGCAAAGCTTTGGAAGCAAATTAATAATGGCACATCCCCTTATATCTAAATGGCTGCTATCATTATATAAAGAGGAAGAAATGAATGAGGGCAAACTGGGAAGTGCAGCATTGCTGAGCAGGAACAGATTTAGGCAATCTTCCCCTTGCAGTGATGCTCTCTTTAAAGCACATCTTATTCTTTCAGTCCTAGACTTCTCTTGGGTATAAAATGCCAGCTGTGTGTATCAGTTCCGTGATAGGTTCAACATGACATTTACCAAGCACAATGCCAAGAATAAGATCAATAAACACAGCAAAGTTGGGACTATGGCTGGCTGAATATAGATCCTTTCCTTGGAAATAACTGAAGATTTGTGTTTGGGTAAGAAGGGGGCTTGGCTTTTTTTCATTCCTCTTGTTATTTCTCAAAAAAAAAAGTAAAAGGGGGACTTACCAGCTTTGACATACTGGCACATTTGAGCATCTCAAAGTAGAAAATTAAGGAGAGAAAACCAAATCCCCGTGTAAAGGAATATTATCCTAGTCAGAACGCTTCAACCTGACGGGTAACTAAATAAAGCCATTTTTGATGAAAAGTTGCTGTCGTACAAAGAGCAGAAATGCAGCCAGGCTAGAGCAGGAGGCTCTCTGGAAAGGCAATATTTTACCTGTTTTGGGTTTGTCTCTCATCGGTGTCATGTACCCGTCCTCATCCAGCTCTCCCCGCACGACCCGCTCGGGCATGAAGACGGTGGGGTCAGCGCTGTACCTCTGGGTGCTGCTGTCCTCTTTTGCCAGGGTTGCCACCTGCTTCTGCATCGTGCCATTGCAGCAAGCATCTTCAAAGATCTCTGCTGTGGCCCCTTGAGCAGCTGGGGCTTCTGGAAGGATGCAGCCAGGAGCCCTGTAGGGCATCGGCACCTCGGCCGCGTAGCCGCCGTCCCGGTACACAAACTGGTTCTGCTGGGACAAAGAGCACGGCATGGGAAAGGAGAAGCTTCAACAGCAAGTCGTGGTGTGCCTCCCGTGCCTGCCCTGCCCATCCTGAGCTTCCAGGCTTTGGTGTGGAGCCACAGAGCATCCTTCTGCCCAGTGGAGATGGAAATGGGGCAGGAAAACTTGTCTCCTGGTCGGCACGTGGAGGCTGGACACACACAGCTGCAAGAGGTGAAGGTGGTGGTTCCTCCTCTATTACTCTGGCAACCTGCCCTGACTTCTGATCAGAGACCTTTAAACCTCACGTGTGGGAAATCTCCTGACTGGGGATAGAAACCACTATCACCTCTGTTTATTCTGGGTGATATTTCTAGTGTGTGCTGTGGTGGGAATTGTGGGGTCACCACACCAGGTGGAATTCCATCAGGAACTGCATTTCAGGGTCACCTACACCATGTGGAATTCCATCAGGAACTGCATTTCAGGGTCACCCACACCATGTGGAATTCCATCAGGAACTGCATTTCAGGGTCACCTACACCATGTGGAATTCCATCAAGAACTGCATTTCAGGGTCACCCACGCCATGTGGAATTTTATCAGGAACTGCATTTCAGGGTCACCCCACCATGTGGAATTCCATCAGGAACTGCATTTCAGGGTCACCCCACACCATGTGGAATTCCATCAGGAAGTACATTTCAGGGTCACCCATGCCATGTGGAATTCCATCAGGAACTGCATTTCAGGCTGGTGAACTGTGTTTGTTCATACCTCAACTCAGTGGTTTAACTCAACCTACCATTTTGCTTGTCAGCACAGACATGCAAGGAACTTTCATCATCATGACCTGCAGATAGGAAGGAAAGATGTACAGATCCATCCAAGCCTTTCACCTAAATTCTTTTTCAGAAAACTTGCCAGAGTTTTGTGTGTGGGTCCTTAGAGTTTGCACATGAATCCAGGCTGAATCTGGATATCTTTAACCATTTGATTCCTTATATAAACACTTCATTACCTGGTTTCGAGTCATTTATGCAGGGAAAAGGAGTTTGAAAAAGGAAAAAAAATAGTGAAAAAAGGAGGAAAGCCTGAAGGATGAAGGCTGAATGTGAAATACTTACTCCTGACATAGGGGTGTAGGCAGGAGGAGGGCTGTGTCCAATTTCACTCTAATAGGAAAGAAAAATGAATGATGGATAGGTAACAAGAGGCCACATGAATGAAACAAGTCACATGAGCTGCATGAGCTGACTGGGAGAAACATGCACACCAGGCAGATTTCCTAACTGGACCCACAATTCAAATTCAGTCAGGGCAAATGTCTCACCCCCAACAACAAGCTGTGTGTCTTAGAAAAGCAAGGCTTTTGCCAACAGGCTTGACTCCTGCACATACTCCTGCTATACCCTTCTGCCAGTAAAAGTTTAGAAGATCAGCAACTTAAAAAAATACTGTTCCAGGATGGCATTATGTGTCTGTGGGCTCTGCTCCATCCCCAGCACAAAAGGCTAAAGGCACTGTCCTATCTTTAGCTCTTCTGGGCTGTGATTGTAATATTTAAATACATATTCTGTAACTATAACAGCACAGCCCTGTCCCAAGATGTCATCAGGCAATGGACTGCCATTAATGTGGTTATTGCTGTTTTTGTTGACAAGAGCCTCTCCAGTCAGTGGCCTGCCAACTAAGATCACTATAATTGTGTTTTTTTCATGCCTCCCCTTTAGTGCTGTACTAAACATATCTGTCTTGCAACACCCCTTACCACAGAACCTTACACATGGCTCTTCTCCACCACTGCTCTCTGCACATATTTTTTAGTTCTTTACTGTTTTTCCCCATGGGCTGATAACCTGTGGCCACTGCTCCATTAGAACAGGAGGCAAAGAAAACAGCTGTCGTGCCATTTAGTTGGCTTTAAAAATTAATATAAAAATGTAATATTAAAAAAATTAATATAAATGTGTAAGTATCCTTAAATTGACTAGTAATTGCAATGTGAGGTCATAATTTTGTAGGCTTCCAAGATTACCCTCAAACAATTCTTACTGGTCAGGACATGTGAGAAGAAAATATGTTTGGATTTTACCAGGTAAAACATAGTTTGTTTTGTATGTGAAATGCAATTTACTTTGTTGATTTTTGCTGGGGGTGGTGTGGTGGTGTTATTTTTGTATTTTAAATACTATCCTGAAATCCGAGGATGTTCCTTTAGCGAAAAGCTCTAGAATTTTGAATTTTTGATCTTAAAAGTCTCACTGGAATGATCATATCTGTCTTTTTGAGATAGACAGAGACCTTAGTGGGCTGGTTGCTTGAAGACCTCACTACATAAGCCTACTTAAGAAGTCTCAGCTTGTACACAAAAAAAAAAAAAAAAAAAAAAAAAAAAAAAAAAAAAAAAATTAAAAAAAAAAAAAAAAAAAAAAAAAAAAAAAAAAAATCAATACTAGCTCCTTTTGATGCTGTAATGTGAGTTATAGCCATTAGCTGTGGAGTGCACATCCATCCACAGTGGAACTCATCACACTCCAGAAGGAGCCTCACTTCTTCAACTGCCCACGAGCAGCCCTCCTCAGAAATGCCCAAGATTTCATTCTGTACACCACATGATTGAATTTTAGGCAAAAACATGACAACGAGGAGAAAGAATAAAAGCCAAGAAAATGTCTCCTAAAGCCTTTTTCCGAGGCTCTCTGGTACAAAATACCAGTGACACATCAGCTGTTGTAGCAGCCAATATTTGTGTAAAATGAGCCCTGATCCAAGAGCGGTAAATAACATTTCTGTGAATATTGGCTAGTGTTATTGCTTTCTATTTATTAATTTCATTTTCCAATTCCTTGCTTCTAAAATCTCCTAAAGGTAAATATCTCCTGCTTTATAGCAGGGACACAATATTTTCTGGCTGCATCTTAAACTGCAATGAAATCTAAGCCTTGTTGGGTCCAGCCCCCTTGCTGCTGCAGAGTTGGTTTTCCTGGCCAGCCACAGAAATATTGATAGGGTTGCACAGTCACTGCTGTTTCTTGCTCTTAAGCAGCCTGCTAAACTCACAGGACTGAAAGATTTCTCTCTGAAGCGAGGACATGAACGTACACACGTTTGAACCCACTCTGACACTGCTCAAAACTCAGCTCTCTTTTCCTCTCTTTCTGCTCTCACACACAAAAAGCACCAAACAGGAATAAAACACTCCAGCCTTGCCACTGGGATGCTGCTCCCAAATCCTGTTCAGGGGCATCCTGTGCTCCAGACCTCAGGCAACTCAATAATTCCCTGCTTTGAGCAAAAACTGGCAACACTTCTTTGTGCCATTCCTCAGTCCTGGGCTGCGTGCCCCCAGAAACAACTCGTTCTCCTCCTTCCCCTAAAATCTCTTGACCTAATTGCAAACCAAGGGAGTATCCAGGCTCCAGTCACCAAACCAAAGCATCCTAAGACATGAGACCTTGCTGCAAGCACCACAATTTCTGATTTATGGGAGTGGATCTGAATAAAATGAGGGATGGTCTGCAGAGCACACAGTGCAGTGTCCAGCCAGCCCCCAGGCAAATTCCAGCTACATTCCAAGGGAGCAGCCTGGCATTTCACAACTGGAAAGACCATTCCAGGAGAACAGCCACCTCTTCTTGGCTGCAGTCCTACTTCCACAGAATTTGCAGATTTCTCCGCCCTGCCACAGACAGCAAATATTTCTGAGAGGAAAATCCAAGGGAAAAGCACGCCCCATGAGATCCCTGTGTCATGTTCAATAGAAATGGAATGCTGTTTGTATAGTAGTTACTGGAAGGCTTTGCAGACCTCTGGGCGTTTCTGGTCCCAGCCCCTGCTCAGAGAAAGGCCATATATAAATAGAAAGGATTTGACACCTCCCTGGGCTGTTAAGGTTCAAGCATATCCATCCCCACAGCTCACAGTGTCTGACACGAGTCTGGCATTCCCTGGCCATAAAGGTGGGGACTGGGGAATCTTTATAGGAAATTATGAGATCCCAGCCCTTTTTCCAGCAGTACCTTTTCTCAGAATGTGACACATGTTTTAACTTAAATGTTGATCGTGAGTACAGAAACAATGTAAGCATCAGTTTGCTCCAGTCTCCAACAACTGCTGCTTTCCACCATCGAAACATCCAGCTTAGATCCTCCAGGGAAAAAAATTCCCCGGAGGAACCAAGGTTTAGTTTTTTTTTTTTTTTTCGTTTTTTTTCTTGTTGCTGTTTGCCAGAGGACAGGTAGGATTTGCAGGCAGCCTGGGCTCTAACTCACTTCCCATAGATTGAGATATGCCAGCCCATGTCCTGGCAGAATGGTGGATTTAAGACATCCCTGAAGCTGTCCAAAATAATTTTGGGTTTTTCACTTTGCCCTCTGGGTTCAGCTCAGTACTGACCAACTTCTTAGCTTCAGATAAGTCATCACCACTTTCTCTTGCATCATTTTCTCTCATAACAAATGCCTGTTCTCATACTTGTTAAATCTTTTAGAGCAGTCCACATGGACTGGGATATCCAAACTGCCTTCTAGGAGTAATTTAGTCTGGACTGTGAACAGTAAATGGCATACATCACAAACAAGACCTTGGCATGAGAAACAACATACCCATACATAGCACAGAGTATTTCCTGTGCTGTTACTGGAAAATACCAGATATAAACCATATATTTTCAGTCTAGCACTTCACCAAGTAGAGAAGTCAAAGATGACAACACCACCAATGAAAACAATCTCTTAAGAGATGCCCAATTTGGGCAAAAAACTCAGCATCCAGCTACACTGACAGGAAAAGGTAGAAAAAATGGTTTTCTGTAGCCTCATCTCTTTGAGCCTGATACCCAGGCTGGAAATAAAAGCATTCAGCTGTGTGGCACCAAAGGCTTGGAAACCCAGCTGATCTCTGGAGCTCAGAAACCTGCACCCATCCTCCATCCTACCTTCAGAGGGGCTGGAAAACAGATTTCAGCTGGCACAATTTGCACTTTGATCTAAGCATGACACAGGAATGGAGGTGCAAGGATTCCCTTTGCCTTTTACTTTGTGTTAATGCATCTGAGTGTCAGAGAGAACAGAGACAGCTGGCATTGCCTGTCTTTTCCTTTCAATCTCCTTGACTCCCACATCCTTCCTGTCACCCATGACTAGCTTTCTGTCACTCTCTTCTTTAATACACTCTCCAAGACAGTAAATGACACCTTTTAACACTGAGCCAATTCCTCATTATTTGAAAGGGATAAGGAACCATTTCCCACCTGTTCCAGCACTTCCCTGTGGGACAGAGGGCTCAGCACTGCTCCTGCTCCTGGGCTGTCCAAAACACAGGACCAGCAGCATCTCCTTTTCTGTACAAACCTCAAGCCTCAAATCCCAAAACAGGGAAAGGATGGAGAATAAGACCAGAACCACAACATGCTCATGATTTTTGATTATGACATGGAAGAGTGAACAGACAGAATAACCCATTTTGCTTGCATAACCATGATGTGCCATGTGAGAGTTTGTGCCTTCAGTATATAGCTGAAAAAAAAAAAAAAAAAAAAAGGCACAAAAGAAAGTTGATGAGTGATCCTGGGAGCAGCAGCAGCCCCCTCCTATGTGCATGCTGCACTGCCATCTTCCCCAGCCTTTTTTATACAGTAATCAAAGGATATTCTGAGCCTCTCAAAATGCCATCAACCCTCATTGAGAATGAAATAGAGCACATCTCCATCGAAGCCTTTACAGCAGTAATCATTGCCACATGCTGGCCTGAACAGGGAGCTTTTACAGACAAAGATGAGTTTTAAAAATAAAATAAAAAGCCTTCCTAAAATCTGAATAGAAACTTGATGATAATCTCCCAATTTTATTATGCAAGGGGGAAAAGAAACCCATAATTGTGCACTCCTGGTCTCTTAAAGCAAAGAATAGGCTTCTTGATGAAATGCTGAGTTGATTTAGAGCAGGGCTGAGGTTCTGGTGGCAATAATAGTCTAAAAGAACTAACCATCCAGCTGATTTGGATAAAATAATCATTTTTCAACATTCTAAATCTACACTTCATCTGTGCCTCCTCCCACTTCTCCCAACTGCATCTTTTGGAGAGTCTTTTTATAGCTTTGAAAATTATTTTCCCCTCCCCTCCCGCAGCATTCAACAAGAAAGACAGACTCTTTACCCTGGCTAACAAAGGG